CGAACAATTTAATTTGGCTGTCGGCGAGTTTCTAGCAAATTCTTCATCCTCTGGTATACAGCTGATAATCTGCAATAACTAAAGGTACATTATTTTATGGTTTCTCAAGAGTTGAGCTCCTGGACGGCGTACACTTGCCTGATTCATATACCCTTGTAGTTAATAATTACACCGAATGCTTTATTTATATATTTGGCGCCGTTACACGATTAGTAATTTTTTAAATTTTATAAGCTGATCAATTAAAACGTCAGAATTTAATAAGCCGCGGTTTTAAAAAGCTGTTTCGTCGAATCAGGATATTTTAGGTTATGATGCCTGTTTGTACTTTCGTGCTGGTTAAAAAATGAACTGATAGCGTGTTATCTGTTCTAAGTTGCGTGTGCTGACACGAACATGTCTTCCCTATGCGCTGATCCGACAGAGTCGCGTATTATAACACAGCCCATCACTTCTTTTATTGTCAGTTAATGCTATTAACCTATTAAACATTAGTGTGTCAGTGTGCTTCATACGTCTTGTAATGGCTTGCATCTTTTCTCTGTTGGCTCGCTGCCAACAAGCCAATTACTTAATAAATAAGTCATTGGCAATTATTGTATCAGCTTTATCCTAAAAGGAGGGTTGCACTTTTGAATTTTATAACTCAAGTCAGCGCTAGTTGTACTTTAACCGTTCCCTCTGTGTTGCGTACGAGTTTATCTGTATCGTGTTGGGTAACCCTATCCTCCACATTTACAGGTCTTTAACTCCAGTGATGGTAAGCATTTCCTTGTGGACCACCAACAAGAGCCCGCTCTCCCTCAGATTACTGTGGGAAAGTTTCACAGTTCTGGGAACGGTTCACTGTTTCCTTCCCCCGTTGTAATTCTACTTCATATTAAATTTTAATGATATTGTTTAAAAGATATAGTCCTATCTCGAGCTACTTCCCGTTTTAACCAACAATAGCCCATCGTGTACACTCTGCGTATTATACCTCTGCTCAGTTCATCTAAATGCAAGCCAGGTGTTCCTATAAAACATGCGACTCTCGTGCTAATGTTTCTTTTATAGAGCTCGCTACACAATGCAGCCCAGTTGTAATGGTGGACCGTACAATTCTCATAACTATTTTGCTGTTAGATTTTAAAGGTGTGGTGGAATTTATCTAACTACTTATACTTGTCTTCCAGAGTATTTAAATGTGCTTTTTAATCTGGGATAACTGCTGCTATTTTGTGTTTTTGACCAGCTATATAGTTGTTCCCCAGAACTATGTATCTGTACTCTTAGTCGACAGTCTACGTAAAGTGGTACTAATGTGGTAGTAAAAGCTTACAGCTATCACCTGACATTATTAGTCGCCTGATGGTTACAGAGACACGCGAGTATTTAACTCACGTTATCAGTTCTTTGATGGCTTCATGTTTTAAATAAGGTTACTGCTACGAGGGAGAAGGTGTTTTTACGTACTTAAGTGATTTAACTTTAGTGATGTTTTCATAATGATCATTATAATGCAGACGATCGCTCACCCAAATAGTCCATTATGCGGCTCACGTTCGTAATGTATATATGTATGATGTAGATTGCAGTTGTACCCAAGGCACTTAATCGTACCCACAATACTATAATTAGTCTATTAACTTTCGGTTGGTCGCCACTATTAGAAATAGTGGCCTCGTACAAACGAAAGTATTAGTAGTAATTTCATGTGGACAACACCATTGTTCCTTTGCATATGTTTAAATCAACGACCCTCAATAAACAGTTATAATTTGAATCTTTCATTTCAAGAAACAATGACCTCTTTAAATTTACACGAGACAGACGGTGTAATATAATAAAGTTATATGTACTTTATGTTGCGTTACGTTATTTGCTCCATGCATGTTGCTTCGCTCCGCTCAAAAGATATAAAGAGATAGCATTAGTACTCGACAATCGTTCGAATTCCTCTACCCGTGGCAAATTGCAACCATTTCACTCGAGTCGCTATATTTCAGCAGGTTTCATGTAAGCTTCATGTAGCACACACGCCCAACAAACGATATTTCTAGAGTTCTAAAAGGTTCTAAAAGGATGCTCTTACATTTCTTTGACGATTTCGTTACTTACCAGACAGTTGCTATTCGGTTCGGTTCGTCTGGTGTTTAAACTGGCCATTAAATTCCAATCTGCAAAGAGCATAAATACTCGAGTATAAATAATCATGTTGGATGTTAGGATTTTATAGATTTCATTCGATTGCAGTTCTTTGGAAGTTTTTGTTCTATCGATTATGACTACTCGTTGTAAAAATATAGCATTTGAATCAAATTTCGGTTAGAGCAAAGTTTCAAGTATAACTTATGCAGTGTGCAGTACTCGCCTTTTCCATAGTGAAATTAATGCTTCTGTCTCAAAGTCGAATACCAAATCGGTAAATTAGCAACCCCGCTCGTGCCTTAAAGAGCTATTCCATGATTTATTTTAGCTACCATTACCAAGGCTTTTAGACACTTGTTCCATAACTTGAAACTAGTGGATAACTAAGAAAGTTATCTGATATTTCCCCTAGTGGATGCGCCTCACTTTATCTCCCAAAGTGTCATCACCTCCTCACTGTATATTATTCAGGATAATTTACTGCATAATTTTGCATATTATGTTCAACGTATCCCACATATATATGCAATGCCTTGGTTTCAAGGTTTGTGTTTCTTTTTGTCTAGGTCAGTGGGCAGGTTCATTTACAGGAGGAGATGTGTTCGATATTTGTGTGTTAGTTTTGCTTTCTTTGCTTTCTTTGCTTTCTTTGCTTTCTTTGCTTTCTTTGCTTTCTTTGCGCTCTTTCTTCTTCCCGTTATAGACAGCCTCAACACTACATTATTCTGACCAATTATTCAATAGCTTTGTGTTAAGCGGAGGCCCCTTGTCTATCATCTATTGTAACTTCCAGCTCTCCTATAGCTATGTTCTACATGATAATTGTCAGCCTCAACGGAGTCGTAATTCAAGCTCACGGCGCTTATAAAATATAACGACAATTATAACAAGTGTTCAACAGGTTATAGTGATAATTGACTTCTATATTTAGTGCTATATTAAATGAGACGTATCGTTTGTTTTAACTTCAGTGTAAAGAGAGTGGTTAGAGCTTATAAATTTTTAAGTCCAGGTCGGGTAGTCAGATTATTATTTTGAGTAGTAGCTCCACACTGAATCTAATAATATAGTGAGTGTTGTGTGTAAGAACGTTGAGTTACTCCGCCGCCTAACTTAAATTTTAGTGTCTACATATAATACCATTAGCTGGGCTGTAAATAAAACTGAACAGTTTCTACATGTAGTATATTTTTCGCGTTATTATACACTTATTTTAGTGTATTATGTTACGAGTTATAATACTCAGCCACATATTAACAGATAATTTTTTGGGACGATCATATTGTTTTGTTGGGTACTCACACAGTGGTCAGAGAGTTGTTGTGATGATCTCAAACTATTGGTTGTCGTCTCAATACACTATTGTAATGTCTGGTTTAAACTCGGCGCTCACATAATATTATGTATATAATGTGATAAAAACCGTTCAACATTTAAGCAAGTTACGCAACCTCGATATTTGTAGGCTATAGTTGAGTAGTGGTTAATATTGAACGACATTTGGTTGATTTATTGGGGTTATGTCACACTGACCACACCATTATTTGATCATATTTAAGTTTCAAAATGTTAGACATATTTATAATATTCGGATATATAATATGTATCTAACGTAATATATATGTCTATCATTTCGCAACTTATCCTCATTTCTCGAGCTTTCCGGGAAAGCCTTTCACTTTACTAATAATTGGTTGAAGTTATTTGATGTCACTATTTTTCAAAACATGGTGGACGGCGGTGTTAGCTATCTTCTTATTCTTACGTCTCAATCGCCTTCGCCCTTCACTGAAAGGCGGTGATAGCAAATTGTCGTCGCCCCGACTAAATCTTCTAAGAAATCACACTCACTTTGGCTAATTTAGAATATTCTACGACTGTAAGGTTTCGAAGATCTGGGGGCTGACTGATTTGCAATTTATCACGGTGACAAGACTGTGGGTTACTTATGAAACTATCTTGCTCCCTTTTTAAATTATGCACCATAATATACGGCTCTATTTTTCATGAGTTACGCAAACTTTATTTACCTGCTATTGTATTATTTCATTATTCCTTTGTTGTTATTTTTCAAATAAAATATGCTTAAAATTCTAGAACATGTTAATTGCAACTCGATTTTGACAGCTAGGAATTTTTTAAATTTTTATCAAGACACTTATTTTACTTCGGTGTATTCCAACAGCCACATTGTTACACAAGTGCAACCAGCCAATTACAGGAAGCCGAAGGATTAATTTGGCCAGTGACGGTTAAGGTAGTGTGTACCACACTTTCTTCGCCCGAGACTTTGCTACAATGTGCAGCTCCTCATTTAACCCTCACACCCGATTTCTCGAGTATTCGGCTGAGTAGACCGGGGGCTGCATAGACCACTCAGGATCCTTAGCTGAACGTCACGCTCACCCCACGACCAGGCAGACAGTGGGATTCGAACTCGCAACCTCACGATTGCAAAGCTGGCGTTCTAACCAACTGCGCTACCTGGCCGTTATAAATCTTGCACGTTCTCGATTTTTCCTGAGTATTCTCTTTTGTGCCCTAGATCGATGGGGTTATCATTTTTTAAATGTTTGATTAAGGGCTCCACTGGGCCTGTGCAGTCCCCGGCTATCATATCGAAAGGAAGGGAAGGAGAGTTTAAATAGCTGCACTTTTATAGCGAAGCCTATGCGAACAAAGCATTCTTTTGACCGTCGCTGGCTAGTCGCCCTATTAGGTCCTTGTGAATCCTGTAATTGTGCAGTTACCTAGTAACCATGTGGCTGTTGAACAGCCGAAGTAAAATAAGTATATTATATGTAGTTAAAACTAGAAACTTGATATTAAAATTTTCTTACATCGAATCATTTCCCCATGTTTTTAAATTATCCAGTGTTCTTCAAAGTGGATCTGCATTACACTACTGTAAATTGTCTGTAAACTAACCAAATATAATTTGCCTAGTGTTATGAGACAGCCGATGGACGTGTTGCACAACAATACGCACGAGTCATTCAGTCTGAATGAGGAGGGTGCTATGGTTGTGTCCAGTGACGGAGTAGATTTCTCATCCTCGCTATCCATAGACAAGAAGCGAGCTGATTCCTACCTGATACTGGCGCTCGTCGACCAGCTGTCTTCATACATTGAGCCCAATGAGCCTTCTAAACCGGCCAAGTTCCTGCTAGGTCATCTGGTTAGAAGAAAACTCATCCCAGAGCACATGGCACTTGATTTTGAGATGGACATAACCGGAAACCGCAAGGCTTTCAAAGTCCTCATCTCACAGTTGACAGGTGAGATGAGTGACCATTTCTCGAGATCCGACAGCAACGCTCTGCTGAGATACCACAACACTCAGAAACAGAACACCCGAAACGAAGCTAACAATATTGGTAGCATTCCAAAGAAGGTGCTTCTGGATGTCACTCCAAATATACCCAGATTTAGGCTTGACTTCAAAGTGATCCAGACCCTGGGCAAGGGTGGCTTTGGGCAGGTTTATAAGGCTCAGCACAATGTAGATGGAAAAATTTATGCGATTAAAAGAGTTAGTATGAAAGATAAGAAACCAGCCTGTAGTGCCGTCAGGGAAGTGAAAATCTTGGCGAACCTAGTGCACCCCAACATTGTTCGGTATCATAACTGTTGGTTGGAGGCTGATTTTCCTCGAAAACGGCGCATTCACAACCAGAAACTACGCGAACTCAAAAACAATTCCAGATCATCAGACAGATCCAATCCCCAGGACAGTTTCAGTATGTCAAGCTACAGTAATTCAACCGTGGACAATGATGACCTTGAAATTGTGTTCGAACACTCAATTGGTAACAGCAGAATTGAGGACAACCAGAAAGCTATCCCGTATTCTGATAAATCAGAACCAGTATATTCATCCTCATTTCCCGAATCCAATAGCCTTTCCTCTCACTTTTCAAAACCTATGGCTCAAGTGGAACCGTACCGACAACCTCAGTGTGGCTTAATCCTGAATATCCAGATGCAGTGCTGTGACACGGACTTGGCCCAGAAACTAAGGAAACGCTCTGAGATCAGTGTACCCGAAAACTTGAAACTCATGAGAGATCTTTTGGCGGGTCTCGAGTACCTTCACGCCAACAACATTATTCACAGGGACATCAAACCTTCCAACCTGTTCCTTGACAAGGACTCTTTACAGATCGGTGACGTGGGCCTTGCCCGATATAATCTCCTTGACGCGGAGGGGTGTGGCTTTACCAATCCCAGACAGAATGGTCTGAGCGAGGACGAACATTGGAACAGTCTGCTCTTTGCAGATGATCTCACCCGGTCGGTAGGAACATTCCTCTATGCCGCTCCAGAAATGAGCGGTAATAGTAAGATATACCACTGCTCCTCAGATATATTCTCCTGTGGTATTGTCATGTTTGAGCTATTTAATATGTTCGGTACGAACATGGAACGGATTGAGAATTTGCAGGCGATACGGAAGGGAGAAGTCCCACCAGATTTTGAGAGAGATTACCCTGAGGCTGCTGAGATGGTCTTCTTCATGACTAGCACCGATCCCAACAATCGACCTACCGCCAGTGATCTTCTCCGTCATCCTTTCTTCAGCAAGCAAGGCGAGAAGACGATGGAGCAAGCTGAATTGGTCATCAAGCAGTTAGGCGCACAGCTGGAGAAAGTCAAGAAGCGGCTGGAAACAGAACGATCTATCTCGCGTCAGCTTCGACTCCAGCTATCAGATTTCCGCACCAAATGCACTTGTAACGCATCTCGTGGCAACATCGAGGAAATATTCAACAAGATAGAGGATGTCAGATAGACATGTCCTAACAACTCTTCTTGGCCTATATCAGTGCTTAATTATTACAATGTCACAATTAATGTTTGTTGCAGGGCTCTGCTTGGCGTGAACTGAATCTGTTAACTTCTACATAAATTATAATAATTTAGTTTACGCTCAAGTCGGGGCTATCCAAAAAAATGATGCAGCGATAAGCATGTAATTTTGTGTATATTTCTCTTTGTCCAATACGGTAATGATTATGACGGGCTGAGATCTTGGGCTACCTGAAGGCAGCTAAGTTAGTCAAGTGGTACCAAATTCCTTAAAAATATCTATGACGACATGTTCGCCGTTTTAAGACACGGTTCGAAAGTTCGGCTAATCCACAGCGTTGGACAGTCGACACGAACGGCATACAAGTTTTAGATCTAAAATCCTAATTTATAATGGTCGGTACCGACTACCAGTACCTAGTAATGACGTGCATAACTTGGAGTAACGGAAAAGTTACTGCCAAGTTTGCGAATCAGCCAAGTTGCTTGTCACTCCTTCACATCTCTGCTGCGTGCGCTAAATGTCAAATTTAAGAGGTCAATGATTTCTTCACATTTTATCAATTGATTCCGTTCTAGTGGAACGATATATTTAAATCAACCCTTGGAGGATGTAGCAATTTTTTTCATTTTAAATCAAAAATGTTGATCAAAGTTTCATCATGCTAACAATAATCAACTTCATAAGGCTTATTTCTATATCTTGTTTTGGTGAAAGCTAAAACTTCCTTCCATATTGCTCCATCCTCCTTTCAAAATTATTGAAAACCAAAGATAATATGATTGTATAATTGTGTTTATGTTTCGATTTTTAGTTATATATATTATTGCACTCAGAGTTAAGGTCAGAAAGTTTTTTCAGTAGTTTGTACGACATTATCCATATTATGTCTAATTGCCAATTATTGGCTATGTATCAGTATATATCATGGATTCACGGAGCTCATAAATCCTTTAATTTTGGGATTTCTTGATGTCTCCTGACGTGTTTGGTTTCCGTTTTGGTTTAATCTGATGGTAGTTCACATTTTTTGGTTAAAGTTCAGGGCCTGTTTTGTTTATCTCCTCAGTTTATTTCAAAATATAAGTCTTTATTTGAAGAATTATTTCTAATTTGTTGGGCCGCTGCTCCCCAAGATGTAGAAAATAGTATCTTTTAGTTTTACTAAATAAAATATGTCCAAAATACACCTGAATAACGTCACTTATGATAAGATCAAATATTTGACATGTGTTTCATGTAAGCTTGGAGTTAAATCTTCTTGCTTCGCATAATTTAACTTGCTCTTGTTAATAACAATTATGAAGCCGAAATGATTTGATCCGGGCATTAAAGTTATCGATGATTGATGATACGTACGATATTACCGGTAATTAATTAATTACCTGACGGTAACGAAGATTGGCATTGAGTATGAAATGTTTAAATCTGCCCTTCAATTTATCGGTCTTCCGTGTGCAATTATGAACTTGGATACGATTTCCGAGTGTAATCACTCATAGATTTGTTAAAAGCTATGTTTACATAGAAAATGCGTCTAAGCAAGCGCTTCAAGTCGTTCACGACAGTATCTGTATCCTGACTTCTGGTTCATCCAGTCTATAGTTAAAAATTCACTCCATTTCAAAAGAAATAAATTTTCGTTAAAATAATGTAAAATAACTATTGGTTTGATAAGATAAATGGGAAGTCAGGAATATTCAAGTGCTCTTTTGGACATCCGAGTAATTTTTATTTACATACCGTCCCCATACCACGATTCTCATACCAGTATGTACTTTAAACATACTGTACACTCATGTTGACTAACCTTTCAAGGAATGGTCTATAATTTCCATTAAATTAAACGCTTCAAAGCGTCTACTAATTGTAAAATCGTGGTATCATGGTGGAGACTACTTTACTTACTACCGAGTAAGGTAGCTATAAACTTATGATCATACCAAATTTTGGCCTTCACCATTTATATGATTGGTATTACGATATCGATTGTTGATGGTATCTTGTAATTTGATTTGTCTTTGAGATGCTAAGCTACGGGTTTAAACGTTTAATTTGTACGGAGAGTTGTTGTCCCCCCTTGACAGCTCTTTACCATGTCGGTTGTAGTAACAGATGGTTCTACGACGCGACGAGTGTAATATTTTTAAGGTTTCATGTTTTGATGAATTCCCAATGATGTGCCAAACTCCTGTTAGTATCGTGTTCAATGTCATTCAGAGCAACAATTACAAATAAAAATATTGTCTTTCATTGATTCGTTAAAAAAGTTCTGAATAAAAAATCTACAAAATGGAATTGATAAATTGAATCATTGCACATTGACTTGAAAATGAAATGAAAATATTGCTGATAAATCTTGTTGTATTAGATTTAGATAGGTTCATAGTCTTAGTAAGATCTGTAGAGCTTATTTGGCCCGGTCTTCATAAATCTATTTTCATCAATTTTCCTAAGATCTTCGCTGTTTTGATTTAAGAATTTGCCACGTCAACCGGCAACGCCCAATGCTCCAATGCTATTTTATTTTACCTTTTTAACTGACTATAAAGCAGAGCGTATGCCGCATGCATGTTCCTTGTGGATTGCGTGTGAAATTCACGGAAAACAATTACTGGCTGCTGACGAATTCTCATTCAGAAGACTTGCTGCTTGTGTCATTATGGAGCTCCACCAACTCCAAGGTAATTTCTTATTTTAATACTATTACTATTTCTAAGTACGATGCATTAATACATGTTCAGGTGAATGGTTCTGTAAAATTGTTATCACAAAACAAGTTATTATTTGACATACGTTGCATGCCACTTTTCGCGCTACATGTTCAAAGATTTATAATTTAATAATTAATTAATCTGCGATCTAAAAGAAGATATGTACCAGTTAACAGTGGCAGCACATAAAATTAAAAGAGCCATACTCCCAATCCCATAATTTTATGACCTATTACATTTATATCTATTCAGTTGTAACATCTAATTCAAATTCAAACCCCCGGCCCCATAATATACGGACAATAGTTTATAAATGATATTTAAATAAATGCACTTTTTAGATACGTATACAGGTAAATGGTAATGCAAACGACAGTTAATGTAAATAACAATTTACAAGTTGTTAAAGATTTTATTTGTCACGGTCTTCATTATCGAAGTCTTACCTATCAGTTATCACTACACTTGATAGAAGGAATAAGAATAACTATAAGGTCATCCTAAAGTAACTTTAAAATTTAAAATTCCTCGACTTCATGGTATCCGATGTCCGAGTTCTGATATTGAGAGCAGATCCAGCTCTAGACACACTATTTCACTTAAGTCGATTACTCTCTTTCTCTCGCATCCTCTTGTTCTTGAACCAGTTAGAAATCTGAACATAGCTCAGCTCACAAGAGGTCGCTAGTCGCCTCTTCTCTGCCGGAGTTGGGTAGGGGTTCCTCTCGAAAAAGTTGGTTAAACTGTCTCTGGCACTTTTCTTTAGACAATAGATCGTCTTCTCTCCTTCCCAAATGGTGGCCGGAAAAGGATTCCTTTTTCTGAGACGGTATCTGTCTACAGCTGTTAGATTCTTCTTCTTAATTCCCGATTCTAAAATAAAAAATGTGATTAAGTCTAAATTTTAAAATAGACAATAGAGATGGCAATTTGGATATTTTAAAACATAAACATTAGATTGTGTTAAAATGTACTACATGCTAGGTGTTGACCCTAACTCTATCTCGACATGCCTGTGTCGCTGTTAATAAACGGCGCGAAAGCTGGTCCCACAGACGTTCAACGACATATACATATGTAGTTATTTCTCGACCACCCTGGCTTTATCACCACATCAGGATTAAACGTCAAATAATTCTATCTCGCTATGAACATTCTGACGAATGGCAAGGAGAATATTTTCTCACCTCTAGCGTAGATAGCAGCCAGCCACAGATGTTGTAGCTGTTCGTGGTGGGACTTGTCGAAGAAGTGGGAGGATAAAATCTCTAGAACGTTCTCATTGTTCTTTCTGTTGTAGGCCTCCTCAGCTTGCAGGATGAGTGTGTTGTCCATTACAAATCTGTCATTGTCACGTGTCATCACATTAATATTGTATGTACTGTCTCTGAAGTCAGGACCCATACAGGCGGGAGGGTGACCTGAAAGTTAAGGTCGATAAAAACAGAGCTTTTGATATGGAGGCATTTATTTTATGATTTTTAAAGATCCTTTATATTGAATATTAAACTTCAAAACTTAAACAGAAAGCTTTGAGCTTATGCTATGGTTACATTAAATTTAATCAAATTCAGGTTTGAGTTTACTAAACGCAGTGAACATATGAGTAGTCTAGTAGATTTATCACATTAATTCTAAGTAAACTAATCGCCGACCTACCTAGTCCTTGTGCGCTGATAAACGAATTGGGGTCTGGGAACGGTTGTCTGGTTAAATCAGCAGTGAACAAAGAACTAGTCGACTCCCCACAACTAGTGTAGAAAGGGTGTGGTGTTGGTGGGTAAGGGAAGGGAGGCAGGAGGGGAGGTGGAGGAGGCATGGTGTACTGATCCGTGTCCAGTTGGTAGCCCGGGGTAGCGGGGGAGTGTTGTTGGAGTGTCAGGTCTAGCGGTGCTGGAACTAAAATTAAACATATTAAACATGCAGTTTTATTATGTTTTGATCGTCCAGGATTGATAACATATCGATTGTCAACTATAACAAACTATAACAAACTATAATCCAAAAAGCCAATATACACAATTATACAGTTATACGCCCACGTGTGTCGTCATGTAAAACTAAAATGTAAAATGTAAATGAATTTAGCTCTAAGTTAAAGTTTAACTGATTTTACCTTGCTCGACATGGTCGTCATAGATGAACTGCTGGTAGTTGGTGAACACATCAAATGGAGATCCAGGGATATCAGCGCTGGGAGTGATGGGAGTGCAGGGGGTGGTGGGGTAGTTGTAGCATGGGGTAAAGTGCTGTGCCCCCGGGTCTAAGGGGCCCGTGCTCGTCGGGAAATTGAACACAAAGTATTCCGGGACTACCTGATTAAACATCATCATGATATTTTGAATTTTACTGGCCCAAGAAAAGCAAACAGGCAAAACAGGGTGGAACTAGTAAATACCGCTAGTATATACAGCTAATTAACATGGTTTAAACTAACTATAGAAACTGTGTGACTGAAGAATAGGACTGAAAACTGCTGCAAACTGACTGTTAGTGCCAGACGATTTTTATAAGTTAAACTGGCAAAATTTTAACTGGTAAAGTTTCACCTAATTGCTAGAAAGTAGAGGCAAGAAAAACAAACTGTCAAAACTGACAACAACATACCTTGGTGGACTCGTTAGCATGATAAGTAGAGTTGTCCAGGAGGGGATGCTTGTCTGTTCCGGACGAGGGAGGGTTGTATGCGGACAAAAATTCATCACCAGGTCGGAGAAGTTCCATGGTACAATGTTATTGTTAGCAAGAAACAATTGGATAACTAGATAAACTTCAACTAATGGGTTTACACAGGAAATTGCAAGCACGTTTGTCAAATTGACGATAGGGAAGTGGACGGTTTATTTCCGCCCTTCCTTTATTTAATTAATTGACGCTAATCTACAGTGCTTGTTCACGTGTTTGATACGTAGTCATGACACACGATTCCTCATCAAGATGCTGGACTCTCGTTGGTTAGTCCACATCACGTGATCCGATCGTCAGCTCATGTGACTGAGCCTCGGTACTAACTAACTAGCAGGGCCTTGTGCTTCAAGGAAACTAGTAATTGAAATCAGATCCCAATCAATTTGGAATTAGGAAAACCAGCTGCTTCATGCAAACTGAGCTGATCTCCCAAAGCATGGTCTTGAACATGGTTTGTGTGTCAGACAGACCCTTATCAGAGTCAGATAAGCGTTGCCGGGGAGACCCATTCTTGGGGCACGAAGATACTGATCTGAGTTTCACAGACTCTTGACAGACTAACAAATATTTTCAAATTAATAGGGTAATTTACGTAGACTGTTAGAACGGCTGTTATTTGGTAATGGTATCTGATAATTGTGATAATATAATATGTGGTTGTGATGATTAACATGAATTGAAATAAAAATCGCTCTTTGGATTTCAGTTTTTAAATGAAACGTTTTAAAGTTTTTATTAAGCTTCACCCTCGAAACATCAAGAAAGTTAAATCCGGACTAAATTCTAATTTTTATTTCTGTAATTTCATCGACAATGAAAATCGCTACTTTTAATAATAATCTATCCTAGTAGTAGTATTATTAGAAATAGCTGAGTTTGGCACATTAATTAACTGCTGTAATTCAAAGTATCGTGATCAGATGATGATCAGGATGTTGATGTATCAAGGTTTCATCGTCATAGCAACGAATTCAAAGTAGTTGATCTTGCCATCTCCATTAAGATCACTTTCTCTGACCAGCTCCTCCGCCTCAGTCTCTGTTAATGGATCACCTACCTGCGAAACGAAACGTTCAAGGGGAGGGTAGATTAAGTGTAACTGCAGTCGATGAAAAGGAAGCTGATAAATTGTGGTTCCAGAATAACAAGAAAAACAAAAGTGAGCTTCAAAAAGATGTATTGGTAGTTGCAGAAACAAAAACGCGAGGGTCTTCCACGAAATGTGGTACAGACAAATCCGTACGGACGTCTGCACTCTTACATTCTACTTTAAGTTTAGGTAGTGTGCCTGATTACACCATTACATTTAATTATTCACGATTTTCTCTGGGATAGAAAGCTCGGTCTTACCGACTACTGCAAACTAGCGGCACCCTTTCAAGATGAAAAATTAAATGTTTTTAGTGAAACATTATGGTAATAGTGCCAATCCAATGTATTATGATTTGTATCATATAAAGCATAGATGGGTAGTAATTCGGATATCTAGTGTTGCAATTAATAAGAGAAAAGTTGTGATTGAAAGGAATACTTTCTAAGCGTGTACCTGTGTCAGAATTGAAATCAGCTCTCCGGCGTCAATCTCACCGTCACCATTTGAGTCAAACACACCAAATGCTTCCCTGAATTATGGATGTTTTGAGAATCACTCACGAGTAACCGGACGCTCTTAAAATCGAGGGTTACCTCTATAAAGACTTAAAAATATTAAATTTATGTCGAAGTGTTTAAACAAATCAAGCTGTTCAGCCTTTACTAATGGAAGTAAAACGGTAAAAACCTGAGCTCGTCGCCCATGAAGCCATGACTACTTCTATGTTTCTCCACTATACCAAGAAATTCTATAAAACTAAGTGTCCCTTCCTCTCCAAAAGTTGAAACGACCTCATTTAGTTCGTTTTCAGTAGGTGCACCTCCAATTAACCTCAAAACTGTTCCAACTTTTTTCACTTCTAGTCTGTCTAAAATAAACAATGGGTTTATGATTTTTATACTTCCTTGCTAAAATTCTAACATGAAATGACTTATAGCAGTTCTCTTTTTTTTTAAATTTCTAACCAGATTTTGAGGAGAGATCGTATGTCAGTTTAATGTTTTTTATCTCTGCCTCTGTTAGTGGGAAGTCTGATGCCATCCCTGAAATGTGGTTTCTTTCAAATCAGTTTCTTCAACAAACCCAGTCAAGTGGCGTAACGAAGGGCCCCTAATTGAGATAAAGGAAAGCTTATATTTGTAAATGCACGAGAGTTGCACCTGATAAGAGTACTTTCTTCTTGGAAACTCGTTTCTTCTTCCCAGTCCCCCTCGTCTTAGGTCTTCTTCCTGTCATGACTACAGTGTGATTCGTCAGATTTCACAAAAAACCAAGATTTATCAACACAACGATCTGGTCTACGATTTTATCATCAGACAAATTTTAAGAGTATAAGCGATAATCAATACATAGCAGTTTAAATGATATATATATCCTTAGTCCTAAACTACCAGGTGTCCAACCGGCAAATAACCTGTTTTGATAATAACAAGAACGGTTTGATAATAATTAGGATGCTTCTCTGTGGATTAGTGCAAGCGGTGGCTTGTTAGAGTGTTAACCTGATTGGGTGTAAATTGTTTTTACAAGGTAACTGATCGGGATCCGTGGTACCATGATGATGTGGACGTTTCTTATGAATTGTGGTTACAATATTTAGTGAAATATTTTCGCAGATAAAATCTCACAAGTTTTAGGTTACAGATTTTTCTTAAATCATTTTAGATATCGAGTTCTAAGGAAGTGCTTTCTATCACTAAAATCTGATGTTATGTCGGAAATTTGTTTCTTAAGAAATTTTTACAACCAAAATCAAAATTGCATTTTATATTCTTGACGTATAGCTTGACGTTTATCTTGACGTATATCTTGACGTATATCTTGACGTACATATATCAATATATACAGGTAAGGGGAAAACTTGGTAATAAAACTGCGCACCATACACGGACTACAAATCACTGTACAAATGAGTATTTCCTCAGAAATAGCTTCAAAGAGTAAATTAAGCGATCACACAAGATAGCTCTTAAACTTGAGACTTGAGAAGTAACAATTTATCAGAGCGTGAAAATTTATGGAGCTAATCATTGTAACCCTAGGTGACACAAGAGATTCGATTTTCTGTATGTACTTCTTTGTACTTCTTAATGGCCTTTCACGATTCACATCACAGTTCCTTATTGGTGGGGCAGTATAAACTCGTATCATGTTATAAATGAATTGCAAGATTGTACATACATTGCTCATGTTGAGGATGACAACTTCAGGTGGCTTCAAGGGTTGTTCTGAACTAAATAAATGTGGATTATGGATACGGGATAACCACTTTAGGTTTCACGTGATGGATTTTAGGAGACATTATGAATTTACCTGATTTGTAACTTTAAGACATTAATTCGCCAGAGAATTATATCAGAGAAAGAATGTATCATTACATAGAATGTTTCTAAAACATGCTGTTCAGTAAAGCAGATGTTTAAGTCTGAATCTTAGCTTGAAATTGAACTTAATTTGCCATTTTTCATATCTTAGGCAACAAATGGTGCTATCATAAAATCTGATTTGAATACATTTAAATAAAGTCCTGAAATAATCGACTCAACGTTAGATAAGCTGACTAATCGTCACAGAATGTGACCGAAACGTATAGACTAAAGAATTTGGTATTCCTATTTACGAACATAGGTATTCTTGTCATTGGTAGAGTTGTAGGTACCAGTTGCTGACTGCTCTTTATTTGTCATTATACTCATAACTGCTTGGATAAGATGCACTTTTATTTTATTTAACCAGATCGGTTCCTTTCATAGGGATTATAATTCATCTCAGTCCTGCCAATTAAGAAACTTGTCTTCATGGCGTAAGTGGGCAATACGTCATCAGGACGATTCATGCCATTCCTCAGAATAACCTCGAGCAACAGAATGTCAGAACTGGGAGAACTTCGTGTCCTAGATTTCTAGCCCCACTGACCTCGAGCCCCAGAGAGCCAGAGAGTCGCTCCCCTGGACGATTTGTCCCAGACCACAGTGCATCATGTCCCGGAGTAATGTGCCCCAGAATCTCGTAGTCAGTTACCATTATCTCCAGGAAGCTATGCCTCACTTCAAACCCAGTAAGTAGCAAATAAATGTGCATTATATCTCTAGGTTGAAGGAATTAGGATACAAGCTAAAATTTAGAAATTACGAGTCTCTGCCAACTCTTTGGTTGAGTAGCATGGAGATTGGGGATCAAATTCTAAATTTTGGACCAACTATAAGATAATCGCAAGGGCCTTGCTTCTAAGGAAAGGTTTTAACATGTGAACTATCCCACTAAAAATAGAAATGTTAGTGCAAAATTGGCAAGTTGTATATGTTGTCCTTGAATGCTATGTAGTGTAATGTGTTTTACGTGGTAAGCCAGTTACTCAGTTACAGTAGGGGCTCAAGCGTAGTTAGCTTCTTTAGGATATTGTTATTTAGATTACTCGGGATTATTATGACCGGGATAAAGTGGCGGGTTTAGGGTAATTTCGCCATATTTTTCCCGAACCACATTTTCACCGGTCGTTAATAAACCCGCCGTCTCAGCTTTTAGGGTTCCCAAGGGGTATGGGTGCTCATATTTTAATCGTTGTCTTATATTCACTAAAGAAGGCTATTGGGACACTTGTTGTAGGTTTTTTGACTTCATTTGGCTAAAATTGGGTTGGAAACCAAGTTAAAGGCAACGTTCAAAGCTGTCGCACCTTTAGCTGACAAAATGAAGGTACTCCTAAGAGCGGCATATGATTACGAGTTCCAGGCTCAGAAAAGGGGGGATGATGAAAGGGATGATCCAGATGAAAATAACGAAGATGATTACAACTTATTGGAAGACTAAACAGCTCTCCCTTCATCTTAATATCGATCTGGTTGTTACGCTTCTTATGTTAAAAATTATTTTCCATCTAGTTTGATTAACCACGAGTCATTATTTCTGTCTACTTTCAACAATTATTGATAATTCGACTTGTTTCACAAGTTTTAGCAATGCGAAAATTTCTAAACTTGCTTATCTCTAATAAGGAAATTTACATCTGAGACAAAATTTGTGAATCTAAAATTGAAAGGTTGGACACCGGTAAAATTGCGACCGGGAAAATGTGGTGGGTTTTGAGCAATTTCGCCATATTTTTCCCGAACCATATTTTAACCGGTCGTTAATAAACCCGTCGTAATAATCCCGAGTAAGGTAGTGGAAAAACCGTTGGATTTGGGTGTTAGTTTAGTAGGTTATGCGGAGTAAGTTTATCGATGGTTTTGAGTGTAGACACGTGTTAGTCGGGTGAACTAGTTTTAGTATTTGGTTGCCCTTGTGGGACTAGTCTGGTTGGCCGCCCCTATTTTACACTATATGTTAGCCTTATCTCTTAACTTATATAATGAGATGTTATTTTGCAGTGTAACTAAGTATACTGTGTTACATTGTGGCAGAGGAAAATTCCATGTCAAAATGTGTTGCAAAAATGACAGTCTAATATTGACAAAGACAATTCGCTATACATTTTCATCTTTCCCTAATGTATCTGGAAAGGTACATGAGCTTGTATTTATGACTCGTTATTTATGTCAACATTACTCTGAGTAGCTAAAACATCAAATCTAACGAATTGTTGTCTCGTAATCTGATCATCGTCTCCTTCTTCGTAGGGGGCTGTGGTCAGTTTCAGGATGACCACTATAAGATAGAGCATTGGAGCTCTGTACTTACCCCGATAAAATTTTATAAGTGGAAACTAAAAGTAGAACTTTGTTTTATCCACATTTGGTTAAACGTTTCTTCACGTTTATGAAGCCGCCGATCCTTGGTAGCGAAAAGATCTCAAAAGATGCACATTATGTCTGTCACAAACTGCACACTGAGGTAAAAGGAGTCAAAAGAAAGACCACTTCGGGCACTGACCAATAAAGTGGTTCATTGTCTCCTCTTCCCTCGAAATTTCTCTCTAAATTGATTTTATAGTTGTTTCTGATGGAGAGGAGTGATATTTATCACCTGCTTTTAGTCCCATGGAGAAAAATATTGTTCCTAGCCGAAGTTATCGCCGGTCAAAGGTCAGCGCTCATGTGTAATTGTATTGTGCGAGCGATTTTCAAACGCGCGCCCTGACAATCGAGTGGGAACCGGACACAAGGGCGATAGACACAATAGCGGTTTTTGGAAAAGATTAAAATATTTGATAAATATCATTCAGGTTAAAATGATTTTAGTTTGCTAATTTTGGCAATGAAGCTAACTTTTTGTTAAATTGTGCAATGTGCATGCCTTTAAATCTTATGTTAGAAGATGCCTTAATATGAAATTTCGGATGATTTTAAAACTATTCAGTGATGGCTTTGAAACTAGGTAACAGAACTTTATTGCTGTATTATAAGTAGTACAAGATAATAACCTATTGATTCTGTAGTACCTAATCCTATCCTCGCCTGACAGAATGGTGAATAACGACACTGCAGATGCCTTCTCCCTGAACCTAACCACCGCTCAAGTAATCCCCCTCGGCATCTTCTGCTTCTTCATGACAATATTCGGACTTGTCGGCAACGGAACCGTTCTATACTCCTCAGTCAGATACAACTCCATAAGACTCGACAAAATCTCCCTGATCTTTGTGAAGAATCTGGCGGCGGCTGACATCTTGTACACCATCTTCACAATATTCCCCAACTTCATTACCTTCTCTGCCCGGAGGTGGGTGCTGGGAAAAGTGTGGTGTTTCATGAGTGCCCAGCTCAGCTTCATTCCTGGTCTTGTCAACATTTCCATTGTGTTGTGCATCACCCTCTACAGGCTAGTGTTGGTGGTGTCACCATTCCATATCACCCGGTGTTACACCGCCAGAATCATTGCGGGAGGCTTCTGGGTAATCGCTATCATCTTTACTTTGGTAAGTGCGATTGTCTTCAAGGCTACGTCTGATTTCAACCAAGATAATGGAACATGCATTTCGTCCCTCTATGACGATCCAAGTGCTAAAAATGTGGTCACCGTTTTCAACATGATTTTCGTTATTTTGCCCATGGTACTGATCACGCTGACCAATGTCACCCTGTGTGTGATAGCTTTCAGGCACTCCAGAAGTCAAAGAATCGTGGTGGATAAGCGGAAGAGTCGTAGAAACAAGGGACTAGTCATGATTTGTCTCCTCTCCGGAATGTTTGTAGCCAGCTGGCTCCCTTACATCATCTACAACCTCATCAAGGTTAAAACCTCTGCGGTCTCCCAGGAGCTAGATATCCTGTCTTTCCACTGCATCTTCTTCAGCTCGTTCGGGAACCCCATCCTCTACTCCCTCACTAACAAGAGATTTGGCGAGTATGTCATGAGGTTGGTTCTGGACGTGATGTATTGTAACACAGAGAGTCCGAGTAGGCAGCGTTTGCCTACGATAAGGATGGGTTCTCATGCTGCAGACAGACAGTTCTCTTCTAGTCAGCTACCTAGGTCACCTATGTTGAGATAGAGGATAACAGTCCTCTTCTAGTCAACTACCTAGGTCACCTATGTTGAGATAGAGGATAACAGGGCCATGACATCGTGTGACCACCCCACAGAGAGGAGATCCTCCTGTCATTCCTCCAACAAATCAGCGAGTTTGAGTTCTGAGGAATGTAGCCCCTAATGGGCGGTGTATCGGGAAGGAAAAGCATGAATTGGGTGAGCTGCGATTTGAAATGCTCCCGGTCGCCGATGCAATTCAGATGGTAAGGCATAGCATTCCACAATTTTGGGCCTATGACTAAAAATGAATTATCATACAGTGAGTTGTGACTGATTTGCTGCTGAGCTGTTTCTGCATGCAGATGGAATGACTTCGAGGTTTCCAAAACGTGGCATGGAGACAAACTGCACGTTAATTTCGTTGCTGATATGGTGATGGAGAATCTTCCACATATGAAGTAAAAGAAACCGCTCCCTGCGACGCTGTAGAGACATCAGAGATAGCCATTGAACAAGGTCTCAATAATGGAGATCACGCATTCCGTAACTACTTCTGATCATTAAGATGGAAATTCTTTTTTTTTTAATTCTGAATTCCGGAGAATCTTCAGACTTCGAGACCTCAAAGAAAAACAATCCGAAATCGAGACAATTATTTTATCAATCAATTTTTATTCTCCAAATAATGAATGTGGCCAAAAAACCTATTTTCGTTAATAATTTGAATAAACTTGGGACAATTGATTGAGTTTTAAGGAACTTCCTTGCATCCAATGAACTGCATGTTAAGTGTGAAATTTTTGTTCTTTTGCACTTTACCCGTTGACAATATGGAGGTGATAATATGATATTTTTAGCCAATATTTTATCTCGGCTACCTCTGCCATTTTTCAGTGATTTATTTTTTGTTCAGCATTTCATATTCTTCTGTTGGACAGCATTTTGAAAATTGAGCACATTTTAAGTTGGGTGAGTTTTCGGTCGAATGATCTTTGAAATTTATTTTACAATTGTTTCCGAAATTCGGAATTCTGAATATTTTGAAATTAATTAGATTTCAAAACTGTTTTTGTCGGCTAATTTTGGTAGGCTTGCAGTTAAAACCATTTCAATTAAACGTTATTATACCTATTTCAATTTACGATCACTGAAGGCTTGTATCGAATTTCAGTCAATCGAGCCATATTGGTCACATTAAAATCATGTTTATTCTTTATTTTATGATTTTTTACTTTTTGCAAAATATTTTATTCCGCAGATGATTAGGTTATGTGCATTATCTAATCATAAATTCTTGTTGATTAACATTCCAGATATATTGTTCATGTTGTTTGTTTGCCAATTCTGTCTATGAAATAATTATTTTCTAAATTAACAATATGTTCTCTAATTTTTCCTCGGAGTACTGATACTTTTCCAAATTTCGTTGGACTGTAACCACATGCCACAACTTAGAGACATCAAAATTTCACCACCTCACCACATATTTGTAACATCTACTTCAGCGATAATGTGTTAACACGTAGCGTAGTAACGGATGCTCGTTTCACTAAAATGTATTAATATCACTGGTAATATCACTGTGTAGAGGCAACTGCAACTTTTAATGACATTTATAACGTTTCAGGAACGAGTCAGAGACGCGCGGAGAAGTTGCACGTGTTCAATACTTTGCACGTGCTCAATACTTGTTTAGTACTCAGCTACTAAAGATAGCGTCCAGTCCTCTCTGTCGCTGGAGAAGTATTGTAGACGCGAGACTACACACTGACACTACACACTTCGGGTAAGTTTGTCAAGTTTATAAGCTCACCAAGTGGTTAACCACTGGTTTAAAACCGGGTAAGTGTGAGCAGTCGTCTGTAAATTCTGTAGTTCATGCTAAGTACCAGGGAGAAGGGGCCCTTTTAAAGTTCTCGTTAATTTTTCGTTATCTTGGCCGTTTTCCTGATTGCAATTGTCATGGTTTGCCTATATACTTATAAGCTTGTAGATGTTTCCTTCTCCTATACTTGCGATTTACACAATTACAGTACCAACAAGTCGCGGCGAACACGTTTATTCGGACACCTGACCTTCTTCTGGTGTTCGTGCTTTACTTGTAGATAGTTAATTAGAGAAAACTTAAACGACGGTCTGTGAATATAATTGTGGTTGCTGAAGTAGTGAATTTGTGATCAGTCAACGCGTAAACAAATATTAGTGCTAGATATATCATATAGTCCCCTGCTACACGGGATGTAAACAGGGATTGGCTAGTTAGAGGCGGTCCGTGTAGGCCTTACACTGTGCTTTCAGCAATACTCATATATGAGCAAGAACAAGTAGTATTCCCTTAGTAGCATTTCCCTAGCTGCGATCTGGCAGCATGTTTAAAATTAGAGAGGTGGTCGAGTCAGAGCTTCACCCCGAGGTCCAGGCTCCGGGATGTTGCTGTCACTGATATTACCCTACAATATCCCGCTTGATACGATACGTGTTTGTTTGGATTTTTGTTGATCCTGTAAATCTGTGTATACTCGTGCCATGACATATTTTAAGGAATGTTTATTATATGTTTGTCTTGTGCTTGTGAGTATATTAATTCTTATCTGTCTTCCTAAGCCATATTTTAGACTCCGTCATTGGTTTAAGTTATAATTTTTATAACGACAGTACTTTAAATATGTCATTTCCCTTACTTAAATTTAACAGGCTTCTTTTCCGGTAACTGACAACTGTCCAATTTTACTGCAAATTTGTGATTAGAATTTTTAGTCTCAACTTTTGACTTGTACCCATAGTTGGAAGCAGAATAAAGTTGCGTTGCTTTCAGTCTTTCAAGAATCAATTCTTTGAACTTTCGATTCTTCATACGGCCATTTCTTGATAGCATTAGCACTGCGACAGATTACCGAATTGCCAACACTGCTTCATTATTGGCAAATAAATTCTTCCTTAGATTTGAGAATCTGTTGGGTCCCTGGCACACACAGCAAGGTGTCAGAATTATTGGCGAATTTAAAATGTCATGTGTATTTTCCGATGAAATCAATATTATTCAACAAGCTAAAGCTCTTCTTCTGAGTGCCCACCGCTGTTAACAAGTGATCAGTACGTCAACTGTACTATATCGTATGCATTAGCGGCGCCCTTGTGTTACTCCTGTAACTCCCTATGAAGCGGAAACTGGGAGTCTTTCTTTCACCTAGTACCGGGCCTGATATTTCAGGTATTTGGCTCCCGGGCTCGCATAAAGATTTGTGACTTCGGCCATGTCTCCGTGGCCAGTATTAGTGAAATCAACAAGTTTGTCGGCCCCTTTATTGGGTTTATTGTTGATAGGTCACCTTTTGTAAGGTTTAGGTTATTGGTTAAAGTGGGGTAACAAATATCGTTGTTATGTTTGTAAATGAGGCTTATAAGTGAGCCCCAATTAGTGGAAACTATATATTATAATCCACGTGTAAAGAAGTGGAGAATATTGACGGGATCTGCATAATTTAATTCCTATCGGTAATTTGTCTTCAAGTACACATTAATCATTATAATCGCAAACTTCAGGTTGGCTTCAAATCTTGATGAGTTTAGTAAGGATACTCTTGATCTTGTTGAATTCATATTTTTGTGATTACAAAAATCAATAAAATAATTACAATTCTCGCGGCTAATGAGTGCAGTATTCTTCAAACCGGCACCACAGTCAGTATTAGTAACCATACTTTCTAATAATTTCCAGGCAAGGACTAGAATGAACCCCAAATTAATGAAACCTGAAACCTATTTTCTGATTCTATTCATCATATTGTCTTTCTCAGTTATTCCTGGAATCTTACTGAGGTGCTATCGGGTCTAACTGCATACCATTTATTGTACTTTCTTATTTCTTCTGGTCTAAATTCGTTAATTCGGTCTACTTGGTGTCCATGAAATTTTTTTTAAACAAGTAAAATCCCTATAAGTATAAATCCTGGCAATACTACACTTCTACCGTGATCCAGAAGGTTCCAAACCTATTTTTGTTTTTATTTACCCTAATTTTGACCCAGCCACACCGCAGTACCCCAGTACATCTGGCCTTCTGGCCCAGTTGCTTCACTTAGATCATCACGAAAATCAGCTTGAAATACCGGGTAAATGTAATCAGAAAATAGGTTAGACACTGGACTTTGCCAAGACACAGCTGCACTGGATATTTGCTTTACTTAAGCATATTAAAATATTAAGATATGATAGCTTTGATAAAACTGGTGCTAGTTTGAGTTAAGACCTAAGATATTTGATAAATCAATTTAAAGGTATTACGTGTCGTAGTGCACTCCCTCTTCTCACACGCCCTATCTATGTATTGTATGTCAGCGCAGATAATTATAGTGATTGTTGTCCAATTTGTGTAAGATTTGCTTTGTCCTATTCTGACTTGGCTCCATGCCGGCCACCCAGCCAGGCCTCTAATTATGGGCCGAGCGCATTCTTTTTATTGTCGCTCTCTAGGCTATACCTCTAAGTCGCCTGATCGCTACATTTTCTTTCGTCTTACAAGCAAGTTTATCTTCAACTTATTCTCAGTATATCAATTATACAAGGTGGTCCATTCAGAAATTGAAGAGTTATTCGTTTATAAGATAGATTGTTGCTATATTCAGTAGCAAATATCGGCTATCAGTGCATCAATATAGCAAGCCAAAAGTAGCTTGTGTTAAGGAGTAAAAAGTAGAGGGCGTTGCCATGGAAATGGTTGTTGCCAGGTTAATTTCATGTTTAAATCTTACAACGCTACTCCTAGCAGTCAGATACCCACACATGGAAACTACCGACTACTTATATAATAGTATAATATACTACGCTGAATTAGGATATGTTATTCCGTGCTTGTTCTGGGACCTTGTCTAATAAAGCTATAAACTTTTTGTCTGATCTAGAACTTTCTAGGACTTCATTTGCGGTACTTGGTTATTGTTAAACGTCAACCTGCTGCAGCCCGCCAACATATGAAATGACTGTTGGATACGCAGTTAAATGTTTAATTCTAATCTGGGGGTACAGCGAACGTCTTTTTAAACACTTTACGACGTTATATTTGTCATGAAGAGAAGTTTTAACGTTTTGCCACCTTTCCGCAGCTGTGAATAAAAGGTGGATCGCTATCAGGAGGATATCGTAAAAGAGCCCTATCGGAATAATACAAAGTTACTACATTTTAATTTCCCATAGACTACTCATTTTCTGACTCCTTTATCCAAGATACAAATTTGGAGTTGCAACTTTCACATTCTTCGGTTAGGTCACCGTCACAATTATGAGTAAACCTGATTTATGTGATACATCTCTTCCGCGGGGGCTAATCACCTTCAATGACTCATGATTTGGTAGTCAAGATGAAGTTTATTGTCTACATACAGCCTTCAGCCTACGTGTTTCTTGTTTGGTTAGTCAGTTGGAATTTCATGGTTTAAAATAGGAAATGCAGTTATCGGACACGGTAGATCACTGCTTTGTTATCAATCAGACTCATTATCAGGTTTCCTTTTTGCCTTGTGTACACGTTCGCGGTGTAGGTATATTGATTGAATATGTTGGGTTGCGCGATGACCTTTCTAGTGTTTGATAACATTTTGTTATTAGATTATGGTTAAATTATACTTCAAAGCACCTGGAATGAGAGCACGACTTTCATCAGACCCTTTTTAAACATCATTTAAAGTTTGCATTATCAACATATTTTCAGTCGTTTAAGTCGGTTATTCGTTTTTCAGCTGCAGTATCAGGCGTTGCCGATCGTCCCCACATCTGACTTTTCTTAATTTAAAAAACTTTCCAATCGATGCTTAAAGCCAAACCTGCTTAGTGTTACGCCAGATCAACAGTAATTATATTTATTTCAAGCATTTAACAAAAGAACGATCAAACAGTTTTAACTCCGAATATAAGAAAGCTAGTTGATTAGTAGCAGAGCAGCAAAAGTCGTTCGACTGATTTAATTTTACGACTGATCTAATTTTGGATGGTGGGTAACTTTTGACTTTTATAATTTTTCTCAGTTACAGTTCGCCAACTCTCTAGAGGTCTAGAACATTCCTTCATATTTGACTTTAATCTAGGTAAATCTCTCAATTAATCAGACCATGTCTGAATGAATTCACCTTGTTTCACCTCTCCTAGAGAGCGGAGATCTGAACAGGCTCCAATCATGACAACATAACATTCTTTAGAGCAATAACTTCCTGGCTGTTCATAAATCATATTCCAAGTGGTCGTCTTGGTCAGGTCATTTCAGACTAGTTGGACAGGTTAGGAGACAAAAATTAGGGAGCGACGTGTTTTAACCATCTAATCATCAAATTCTACCATTTGTTAATCCTTCAATTGTTCTACACAAGTACTTTCGGCCAGGTGCCAGCTATCTTAGGAATCATCAATACTTAAAGCGCTCAGTGAAGACCTTTAAAACTCTTTTGTTGATGATCTATTTTTTATTTCTTTGATCTTTTTGCATACTTGAAAACTTGTACTTACCTACCCCTCGGATTCTTATTACCATTCCCAGCTCATTCATTTCCAGTGTTCTAGTGATCTCAACCCAAAGTCCGCTCTTATTAAATCCCTCGAGATTCCTGCTCTAGTTCACATTTTGATGTCACTTTTTGTTACTTGTTACTTTACTCGGTGCTAAAACGTAAGACTGATGTCCCTAATTTTCATGGCGCCAACTGTCTGCTCTCTAACTTTTACCAGCTTAGTCTTTATGGTGATTTCGAGCTAGGTGATGATCAATGTAAATTCGACTGATTCAAATAGTTTGGTATT